TTTGAACGCGCTTATCTGTGCAACTACTGTTCCAAACTGAACCTTTTTTTATGTCGGATAGCCCATTTATTGAGGCAGGCTATTCATTCATAATAAGACACCACGCTACAATCAATAGGTGCACAGCAACGGGTAAAGAGGCGTGGAAGCAGCTAGTATTTATTATGTTGTTTAGAATTTACGATAGATCCATAGTAATATCATCATACCATGTTGGTAATCAACTAAATATTAAAATCGTACATGTCGGAACTGGTCACGAGTACGGATGCTAAACGTAACGCAAGCGCGCCACCTAGTGGATTTCCGGTGCACTTAGGCGGAGTCGTGGCGTCAGAGTCGGACACGGCGGAGCTCACTTCAGTTCGAGTCGCCACCGGGTGAAGACGTTGTCACGGAACTGCCCTACGTGTCGCTTAGTGCCCAGTTACTGTACCTTGTGATTATAAGAAACTCAGTGATTAATTCTAAACGCTTGTTCTATTTACACGATACTCATATTCGTCCACATTATGTCTGAACAACCGGAACTTAATCATGCCTCCTTCGACATCAGAAGAGGGCTGAGTGTTGCCGCCTTCGACGTACATAATAACACTGAATCTCAACCTAATTTTAAATGAGATTAGTCTTAATTTTATAAATAAGTTCAGACTACCATCTGCCCTCGTACCGACCACTCAGATACTACAAGATCCAGGTTTAGAGTGTCTGAAGCTTCTTGCTTTTCATAACGATAGTCTTAGCTTTGGAATCATAACAAAAATAACAAAAATAGCAACTGGTATACATGATCCCCAAGTCACGGAGGGTCTCAAAATGTCAACAAGCGTGGCTTAAAACTGAGTGGTTGGTCCTTCAAGTTATACGAAATTGGGAATTTTATAAATAATTTCCAACCGTATTGCAATGTAATAAGATTGAAGAAGTATTACTGGTTAACTTGTTGTGCTGTTGTCTGCAAAATCCAGGTATTATATGCGAGCTCTTGTATAATGAAATGCATCTGTATCTCTTCAATGTAAAAGATTATCCATTTATAAAATGTTCTACACGTTTGTTCTCAGTGAGGTCACGTAATACATTAAAATATTAATGTTTTAAAATAAATAAATCCTGTCCGCATAACGCTTTCCCTTGATCCCACATTTTACAAGATAAATCTGACATAATGTTCAATCACAATACTGGGACTTTTTTTAACGGGAGAAAATCGTCGCATGACTTTTCCCGCCTGGGTGAGCCGGGAGGGAGTGTCAGACTCTTACTGACCAAAAACCACCCCGTTCCTTCTCCTGCACTTCGAGCCGGAGCCCCGGTCACCCGTTAGGTTCTCCGCAACAAAATACTGGGTCTAGTTTAAGTATCGTATCGATATGTAATTCGATTCTCCCGAGGACTGATGACTTAACGATGCTTGATTTTATCTCTAGAGGGGTTAAAAATTAAAATAGACATTACTTGGTTAGTGTAAGTCTTTATAGCCTTTCCTCTAACAATAATGAGGCAGAACACTAGCAGTTGCAGTGATTTGGAAAAACCATTATTGTATTTGTGTTTAATATAACGTTTATAATACAAATTTGTGTAAAACACATACATACATATTTGGAATCGAACCAAGCAACGCCACGACACAGAGAATATCCTCGCCAAGAAGAAATTTTTCCTAACAATTTCAATCGTGTGAGTGAGGTTACCGGAGGCCTAATTACCCCCCTCCCTAGTCCCCGTCTCCCGAATCCCAGAATCCTCTACAATCCTCAAATTCCCAATTGCCAATTGGGAATTTGAGGATTGTAGCTGGGGCATGGGCTGGAAACGCACATGTAACGCCTTGGTGTTTCGAGTGTCCATGGGCGGCGCCGATTACTTACCATCAGGTGATCCGTCTGCTCGTTTACCGGCGTATGCTATATAAAAAAAACTATGAAAAATTCTTTCTACAGTAATTGTAAATAACAATTACATAGGTAAATACTTACTATTTGACTAAATTACTAAACACTTCTGTCACACACCACATAAAAACCATGCTTCCGTGAAAACACTAAGAATATCAAAATATCTAATTCCAAATGCGTTACCTGATCCTATTTTCGGCATCTCAACCTGTAAAGAGGTCAGAGGTGACAGAATATTTGGGATTTATTTGAATGAAACTGAAGTGTAAAGGTGTCTCCCGCCGACCTTCCAGTGATTGATTTGGGTCAGAGCTGAACTGAGGATGATAGTATTATTAACTACTCGTAGTTTTATTTAAAGTCTGCCATCAGGTTAAAATTCAATATTTAGAAAGGATTGACCGGTACTACCAGAATATAACCCATACTTATAATATCATATCTTTTATTTCCTGGACCGCCGGGCAAGAGGTCTCGAGTTCGATTCCTTGATCTGGCAAAGTATTACTGGGTTTTTAAGTAAATTTAGTATTAGCACGAAGTCTGTAATAGTGTCCGGTATATGGCGATAAGCTCACCCCCTATTACATGGGACTCATAACTTAAATAGTGAAAACTGGGTGTAACGTTGTACAATAGCATTAAGTGCCGTAATGAGCACCTCTGCCTACCCTTTCGGGGATAAACGGCGTAATGTTATGTTATGTTATCTTTTATTTCCAGAGAAGGTTAGCGAAGATTTTCATAGTAATAGTCACTTTTTGTCGCCACCCATAATATAGGGTGCAAACCTGCTACACCGGCCGTTGACAACAACCACACTTGAGATTAAATAAAACATTCTATACTCCGTGCTAATCTTCGAAGCAAAAACAACAAACCTCCATTGATTTACCCAAGGACGAAGATGAAAGGCAGAAAAAATTTGGTCAAAACACACCAACAAAACTGTAAAGATTATTCTATGAAAGTACATGAATACCATCTGTACATCACGGAGAATCAGCAGACAGTATCAAGCCGAGAATGTCGTAGTGTAGTATTCATTAACAGTGGTCTAGACTAATGCGAATCTCATGTAATTACCCCTCCTTCGACTGAAACTTCCCTAGTAATGTGACAGAGCACTACAGACTACATGTACATTAAATATTATTCAAAGTGTCCAAATATAAAGTTTCATACTTGGCACAGTTAAAATTTGCTCCCTCATGAGATACTGTGTCACGGAGATAATTAATTTTCTTGCTTGCTTGAAGATTTCATTTTAAGAGCATATTATGAAGTGTAATTTGATTTCAAAGACTTTGTCATTGATTCTTGTGTTTTTTGTACTTAGCAGAAGTGTTATTAATTGAGTAATAAATCGAATTTCTTGTTCATTTTTTTGTATACAAAACTATGCTTTGGAACGAGCACCGTTTTCCATTAACGTATTGACGTGAGACCGTTTTCCACAGTCACGGAATATTCTGTGGCGACGCGAATATTTGGTGGATTCATTGAAATACAATAGTTGAACTTTGATGTAAACATACACGTCTACAATAACCCTCTGTGTAACCAATGATATAACAGATAAACCAAACAATAGGGTAGATGCCTAATTTTTATTTAAAAGTCCGTCTGGTAGATTATTTTAAATCATTAGACACGTATTTTTTATTTTCTTACAGAAACGAATACTTTCGACGATATATTGATTTGTCTGACGCGTGACGTCACTTCTATGTACATTTTATACGTAGATATGACGTATACGACAAAATAAAATATACGTGTCTAATATTTTTTTATTACCTAACTGACGGACTAATTAGATTTTTTTTTATGGCATAAACCGGTAAACGAGTAAACGGATCACCTGATGGTAAGGCGTCGCCCATGGACACCTGGAACACCAGAGGCGTTACAAGTGCGTTACCGGCTTTTTGGGGATTAGGAGTTTGAGGATCGTTGGGGATTCAGGGATTGGGGAGATTGGGGAAGGGGAGGGTAATTGGGCCTCCGGTAACCACACTCGCACGACGAAATACAACGCAAGCGTTGCTTCACGTCGGGTTTCTATGAGGCCGTGGTATCACTCCGGTCGAGCCGGCCCATTTGTGCTGAAGCATGGCTCTCCCACATTTAACTTGTTAATTTTCATACCCTGTCATCATCCCTCTTGTATCGTTACTCAATAGTATCTTGAACTAGAAATATACAGAAGACAAACAAACTTCACTCTAGCTTCCTATAAAAACACAACCTTCCCGCTGAGTGTAGAAACTTGTAACATAACTTCGAAGTAAATACAAACTTTGATCTTATTTTGTTGTCTGATTGGTGTTGGTCAATGTTTTGTGGAATCATGTTTCTTATATTTGAACCACATGAACTTATCAAGGACCTTTTGAGACTTTCTATTATGACCTAGGGCAAGTAGTTAAGTCCTTCACTTTCACCTCGGGGTAAAAAATAACATAAGTGTACAAAAATACAAAAATTAACTTAACATAGAGACCCCGACCCGAGACTCTTGCCCGGCAGTCGCATTTGCGACCACTCGGCCAACGAGGCAAATACAAAAATTATATAGTTTAAATTGGGTAATTAGAAACAACATGGATAGACATACTAAATTAATTATTATGTTTTCGACTTACTCACGTAACTGTTTGACGAAGAGCTCGACTAGTTTCAAGCCATGCTAGGGGCTTATATTCATGAACATCATTTCGCAACCCGCGCCACGGCGACAGTTACGTTAGTAAGCCGAAAACATAACAATTAATTTAACATGAAAATAGTGGGAAGTGGATCTTTTAAAAGCTACGATCAATTAAAGACTATAAACTCGCTGTAGGTCTGATTCTCCAATTTACTGGTCTTCTCTCAACCTCTCAATCATACAAAATCAATCAGAATTCGAAAACCTAACATAGCAATCACGCCATTATAGCAGTCCGCCTCAACCGGGCGGGAGCAGTCATCCCACAACATCCGATGATTTCCCTTTAAAAAATAAAATAAAAAATATACCCCATTATGACAGACATCAGACATGTGTACGAAACAATATCATCCAAATCTGACCTTACCCTCTTGTTGCAGCGGCGGTGGTGGTAGCATTCTTCGTGTGCTGGGCTCCGTTCCACTTCCAGCGCCTGTTCTTCATCTACGGCACCTCCTCGCGGCACTACCACACCATCAACGAGTACCTGTTCTACGTGGCCGGTGCCTTCTACTACATCTCTGCTACTGTCAACCCCATACTGTACAATGTCATGAGTCATAGGTCAGTATTGAGAAGAGAATAGTTAAATTAGAGTTTTAAGTGTGGGAGAGCCATGCTTCGGTACGAATGGGCCGGCTCGACCGGTGTGATACCATGGTCGAGCAGAGACGAGTGTGAGTGAGGTTGCCGGTGGTCCAATTACCACCGTCCCCAATCTCCGGATCCCCAATAATCCTCAAATTCCTAATCCCGAAAAGGCCGGTAACGCAGTTTTAACACTTTTGGTGTTTCGGTTTGTGCATGGGCGACGCTGATTGCTTACCATCAGATGATTCTTCAGCTCGGCTCGCGGCGGCCCGGCTTATTCCATAATAAAAGTAGACCGTAGTCAAAAATGGTTGGGTTAGAGATTTTTTGATGATCTTATGTAACCATAACTCCCTTGCCCGGCGGTCCCACTTGCGACTCACGTCAGTCCCACTCGACCAACGAGGCAGTAGTATACCAACATAGCAAATATGTTGTCCCTTATACGTTAACTTAACATTTCATTCAAAATAAGTATGTAGCAGGTAATGCTTCAAACTATGTCACACATTTAAACACATAGTACTTACTATGTCAAAGTATGTTAAGTAACTGAAGCATCGTCCAGCCTTATCAAGTATAGCTTTAGTTTTTCCAACTACTGCTAACGTGGGACTCACTCGAGCTAAGTGGTCTCATGTGAGCCGCCATCTTATCCATCGATTCCCTCTAACTTTGTGTACAGACAAAGTTTGAGAACAATAATGTCACTATGATAGTAGTCTCAGTTTTATCTATTCAGGTTTAGTGGATTTAAGATAATAGGCTTTGTTTTTACGTGAAAGGAAGGCCTTTTTGAAACTCCTTTAATCGAAAACTCTTTGTGTAGTTGAAAATAGAGGCTGATTCCTGTTGCGTACAATAGACATAATTCGAAACTCACTATTTACAGTTAATTTAGACACTTCTTTAGTTTATGCGTTGTAGTCTGATCGTCATAATTATAAACATTAATATTATTCTCGTTGCCCTCCTTGGCTGCCTTATTGGCCGAGTGGTCGCAAGTGCGACTGCTTCGATTCGATTCCCGAGTCGGGCAAAATATACTGGGTTTTAAAAAAAATCTCAGTAGTAGCACGGAGTCTGGGATTGTGCCCGGTATGTGGCAATAGCCTCATCCCCTATTATATGGGACTCATAACATAAATAGTGAAAAGTGGGTGTTAGAGGTACATTGTACTTACAGTGGCATAATGTGCACCTCTGCCTACCCCTTCGGAGATAAAAGGCGTGATGTTATGTTATGTTAATATTATTCTTTGTTAGTTGGACATTTACGCCGCATGATGAGCAAATATTTCTATTAAAGAGAAATATTACATTTGATGAAGCTTTACGCAGTTTTTTTCAGATGCCAGATGTTTGAAAAGTCTTGAAAGCTAATATATTTTTGATCGTGTTATCCTCAACCTGCCGTGAGGTCATAAGGTTCACAAAGAGTCGTTTGTATCGACATTTTCTGCACAAAAGTTGCCGTCTGAAGTATTTCGAAAACCACATCGAATTTTTAGACTAATTTGAATTTAATTATGATGAGTTTACAATTGATTTTACGTTGGCGCAGTTATTAGGCAAAATGTTGAACAAAAACTAAATTATGTAAATGAGTATTGTTCTTTTGAAGTAATCGTGAAACTCGGTTCGTTTATATTATTGTAATTCGAAAGTTTCGTCTGGCTACTGTTTATATAGTTTAGTAAATTAAACTAATTGTTAGGGATTATTGTATCGTTTTCTATTCTCTCGAATTCTAAGTTGACGCATAAATTACCTTCTTGACTTACTATAATCAATGAAGAGACACACACACACACACACACACACACGCACAGAGAGAGAGAGAGAGAGAGAGATGTTTTTGACATTAAAAGAAAGATACACACATCGTTATGATATTAATCAGCACACATGTATCAAAACACATTAATCTTTAAAAAATCTAACAAATTACATCGTCCACAGGTACCGCATCGCGTTCTCAGAGACCCTCTGCTGCGGCAAGGTGATCAGCAAAAAAAATAGGTACCGGGAGCACTCCAGCATCAGAGAGACCATGGTGAACCACACCTCCGACGGAACCAACCTGGTCAGGGTCCGCTCCGAGATCCAGCATAAAAGGAACCGAGTGGACAGACGAAGCAGGAGATGCAGCTACTACGGAACGGAGACCACAAGCCTTTGCAGCGAAAAATGGAGACAGGAGACTCCAAAAAAGATGAACAGCATGGTAATCAACGACAGGAACAGTGTATCTTCAACCTTATGTAATAATAATGACAGCCAATTGTTGTACAGCGACTTCAAAATAGATGGTGACGTCACTTAGGGTACCAGGCGCGCAGACATCGTGAGAGTTAACTTGACCGTCATGAGATACTGTCCGCCATATTGTCGATATGATCAGGATTGTAACTTATATTGTGATACAATGATGTAGATTTAATACTACGCTTTTAATGTATAGGTAATAAGGTTTATAATTGGTTATTCTGTATAATACGACTTGTTTATTTGTGGTGTTTATCGAGAGTAAAAATAAATAAGAATTTCGAAGAAAGTCACCTCAAAGAACTTCGCCTAAAATATAAACACATTTTTGTAAATATTTATCAAGTAAATCATTAGTGTAGTGTAACTATATCTCCGACGGTTTGTTGTTTTTTCAACGAAGAGACAATTATTTTCTCTTGTAAGAAGCCTAGACTAAATTGGGCCTCACTTATATTACGTACAATCTAAATTAAGAGCATGTCATGCGTGTACTAACATTAGTTCGTAGGTACTCGTGCCATATCGTATGGCTATAATTTTGAACTACTTGGAACAATGTATTTAAGTTTTACGTAACTACTCTTTAAATAAAAATACATCAAAACATATTCTATGTCATCAACTCATCGATAAAGATACAGAATTAAAATAAGTAATGGACGATGTCCAAAATGGCCCTGTGTAATAGAGTATCAGAATATACGGTAATTTATCCCCTATTTTATTATATAAATTGCAAATACTTCTGTATCACGGACTAGCTGTATTCCAAAATGATGAATTTAATAGAATTTATCGCGAAAACATTAAACCGCCATCTTCGACTAATGTCAAATGCCTTCGCCTAATGTTATAAATAATAATCTTCGTAATAATCGAATAATATTATATAGTAATCAAAACTTCTTTACTTCTATACAATCATTCAAACATTCAACATTCGTTCAAATATTCGGTGATATGGTTACTTCAAAATCTGATACTTTTTTTGAAATATTACTTTTCTGCAGCTAGTCCGCTATAAAAACAAGATCTTCTAGAAGTCTACAAATGATAGAGAATACAATACATAATTATACGATACTCTTCGCTCCAGGGCCAACAATTTATGGACGCAGAGCAATGTCCTTTAAAATATATAGTGTTAAGAATCCGCTAGACGTATAACAGACAAACAAACTTATACTTACCACCAGGCGAGACAGTGGTATAACTTTAGTCCATACAATTATAAAAAAACAAACAACCAATGATATAACAGTTAATGGAAGTTTTAATGAGTTAAGTCAAGTAAATAATACCCACATACTTTTGAACAATCACAAGCAAAACCATGTTGTAATTACAGTATTTCTCGTTGAATCAGCGGTGTAAACAAGAACCACTGAGCTCTGTTCATTTTGACGTTTACCCGTTTCTTGTTCAGCCTGGCATTCATTTAATTAACCCGGATAACCGGATAACCTTCAAAACATGAAATAGAACACTTTTTGTAATGCTTTTCTTGGATTACAACAGCCTATAAGTGACCACTGCTGACCAAGGCCTCTTCTTACACGGAGAAGGTTTGAGCATTAATCACCACGCTTGCTTAATGCGGGTTGGCGATTTTAAACATACAATTAGAAGTTATAAGCCCAGATTTCCTCATGATATGTACCTTCACCGTTTATCAGTGGTGTCTAAATAATCTCAGTATGTTTCTTGGATTACATGGCAAAAATATATCTTTCCTAGTTTGTTCTGTTTTGATACAAAATGTAATTTTCATCAAATTGAAACCAATAACCAATTCATTACATACATACAGCACGCTGCCCTTTTCATTTTCCACTTTATATCGTAACAATAAAGTTGAAAGTCAATAAAATTAATTTGACCATTGAGATATCGTAATGTGCGTGTGTACTTAAATATTAAAGTTCCAGTAAGTCGCCCAATTGATTCAATCCTCGAAGGAATTGACAAAATATCAATAAAATAAAATTCAGAAATTCATTTTATTTCGTGCGATTGGTACCTAGTAGTTATTTTATAGAGGTTACTCCCAAAGGAATAGATAAAATTAAGCTGTCCATATACTTAGAAATATAATAGTTTTGTCCAGTTATTGTTTTTGTACGATTCTCGAAAACTAACGAAATTATTTTAATTGTATTTCAAGGAACTTGACACTCTTTTATATAGGTATGTCATCAATATAAGGCGTGTGGGACAGGTGCCATGTTTAAATACTCAAAATACTCAGAAATTAGACCTAAGTATATAATCACTACATGGTATAAAACAAAGTCGCCATCTGTCGTCTGTCTGTCCCTATGTATCCTAAGTTCTTTGAAACTACGCAACGGATTTTGATGCAGTTTTTTTTAATAGATAGAGTGATTCTTAAGGAAGGTTTATATGTATAATACATGTGTATTGCACCGTGCGAAGCCGTGGCGAGTCGCTAGTACCTAAATAATAATTAGTTGCCAATCAGTCGTTGAAAATCAAAAATATCGTTGATATATTTTTAATTCTATTTCCAAACGTGTTTAATACCTATAGATTGTTTTTAGAGGAAATTCGTCAGTTAAGCGAGGGTTTATTACTTTCGAGGCCGGACTTATATTAACCTTACTTTAAAACGTTTCTACCAGTGGTTCGCAGTCAGTGGTCCGGAAAAGAACAAATTATAGTCGGCTAAATGAAATAAATATAAAATACCTACGCCCAATAAATATCACGGTTTAAATTCGAATTAAACGGAGGTAAAGGGAGCTACTGAAAGGAGTAATATTTTTTTTTAAATGTTGCCCCATACTCGGATTTTTATGACACTCAGACCCGGAACAACAATCTGTGGATGACACAAAGAGTTGTTCCGTCCGGGAATTGAACCCATGACACGTTGCGTGGCAGCCAGTTGCCCAACTGTGCAGTCAATAATACAAAGAAACTATTTCTATGAGAACGAACCCCACGACTCGAGAGGAAACCTTAGTATGAGACCATAAGAAAAACGTAACACTATTACAGTGTTCCCTAACCTTTTAAGAATTATGTAAAAGCGGTCCTTGACCAAGGAAAGGTTGGGAACCCCTGCCTAATACCCCCGGGTACAAGCAATTTTTAATGAAGGTTTTATTACTATTTATTTTACCCTGTTTACTGTGTACACAACCTACAAGCCTCCAAGGTCAAATAAAGATACCCAGGTCGCATCTTGATCCAAATTACTTGTAAAATGTCGAATTATATTACTTGACTTAAAGTATGTATTGTAAAAAGTGCTTAAAGCATACTCTCATAAGGTACATTTTGTAAATATATCTAAGTAATTATGTAACTTTTATAATTGTAATTGATTATTGTAACTACCAGCGCTGAACTAAGAGAATAAAGCGAATTAGAATTCATTATTTTTGTTATTTCATTATTTGTGTTCTACCTGATCTCTACCTAGGTACTTCTCTTCATATTACGATATTTTGACACTAAATATTCAAGTAGGTATTGGTTAAAAACATCTTGCTTCAAAACCTACTAATGAATTGTTAGTATCTCTAAAATACTCTTAATTTATGAAAAAAAATGTGACTGAGACTAGACTGTTTTTGCACATTACTGGTAGATAAATTCATAAGTACCTACCATATCATTTACTACCTATAATTTTTTATATATACAAGGTGTATTTGAAGCCGTGTCATTTCTCGGGCGCATGTCACAGAAGTTATAAAGGTTTAATGTAAGAGAAAATTTCGGACCAATAGTTAAAAATATGGCTAAAATAAATCGTTAAAGTTCGACAGTACAGAATAAGCGACAGCAATGTTTCTTATTGGAGTTTTATGGAATTAGGAATAATATCAATTACGTTTTTGAGTTTGTGTGTGTTAAGCCGCGTTATAAAAACCAGTTATAAGACGGCAGCTTGTACTTTGCACTTACGGATTTTACAGAAAAATGAAAAATATTTACCTACAATTATTTTTATTCATTCGGACTCAGAATCGATAGCTAAGCTACCTCCTAGAAAATGACGCGGCTTTAAAACAACACCTTGTATAATATATTGGAGTTTAGTCCATATAAATACGCCAACCTCATCAACGTTATCACATTACATTATTTATTACAGTATGTGAAAAACTCCTGAGGTGAAAAATTATTCAAAGAAAAGAAAAGTGATTATGAAAAGTGTTCATGAGTAAGATCCAATAAAACCCACGCGGTAATGTATTTTACGATTACGGTTAGTAAAATCCATTTTTTGCAAGCATTTCTTTAAATCAGTTCAAATGAAAAAGTATTGATTACCTCCATCATAGCCTCTGTAATGTGTATTTTTGTGTGTATGTGAATGTCCCTTTGTAATTGAAATTTATACGGTTCCATCCCAACTACCTACTAGTTTCGGATGGGGCCAAATAGGGCTGCGGAAGACTAACGGGGAGTAGGAACAGGGTGGTTTTTACAGTCAGTAAGAGTCTGACACTCTCTCTTGCCTCACTAAGGCGGGAGAAGTCAGTCGAACATTTTCCCCTTTTTTTATATACTTAATAGGTCGACGTTTGGCCATCATCTCGCCTTGTGGTGCACGATGATGTGGCCGATAATGGAGCACGCCTACCTACGAGCAACCTGTTCACTCGGGACTTGAAGACCAAGTCATATTTGACGGGAAACACAGCCTCTGGCAAGGAATTGCATTCCTTAGCGGTTCGCATGAGGAAGCTTGACGCGAAACGCTTCGTGCGAATGGGTGGAATGTCCACCATATATGTAAGGGTGGCGCCCCGCCGTTCGTCTGGTGGTACGGTGGTGAAATGGTCCCCCTTAATAGAAGTGTCTAGTAGTTTAGTTCAATATTTACAAAACTAGGCCTAATGTTGCGTCATTTGACGATTGCATGCATCCTTCACAAGCAATAGGCGGCCTACAAATGACAAATCCTTGCATCTTGCTTAGACTTAAGGAAAACTGTCCACGAAGCGGCGACGTCAAACCGCCTAATGACGAAACGTGGACAGAATCCCTTAATGATTTTAATATTCTGCTAAACTGTTTTTATAATAACTATCGTGAGACATACTAAATTAACTAAAAATCGCGGGCTACGCACGTGAT